GAAGACTCCAGCGGAAACGGCCAGGGTGGCGGGGTGACGGGGGGCTTGGATGAAACTCCAATTACCTATGTGGCTGGGGGAGGAAACTGAGTGTTACTCAGGCTAGAAGGAAGAAAAAGAAGAAGGTAAGGTGGCTGGGTCACACCCTCGCCCTTGAGTGGATGTGGGATTATGGCTGACAAGAGCCATCTGGGCTTCTTTGGGGGGCCAGTGGCTAGGACGTATGTCTTGAAGGCATCAGGTGACCTCCTTCCTAGGATCTGGATTTGTTGCTGCCCTTTGTACTTCTGTGATGGCTGCACATATTCTGAAACATAGTATACAGGATTAAGAGAAGTAATTCAACACCTTTAATACTTTTTCCACACATTTAAGACCTTATCACCACTTTAAAAAAAAAATGCTGGTGAGATTTATCTTACAGAATATTTACTAAATATTAAAAAGTAATAAATGAATCCAACTAAACAATCGAATACAGAAACATGTATATTAAAATCTAGCCGATTCGACAGGTTGTCACCCATAGAGCTGCAGACTGATAGTGTTGCAGTAAACAAGCGGCAAGCTGTCAAACCTTAGTAGAAATTTACTGATTACGTAACTACCTAGTATCCTGATATTCATGGCTTGAATACAGTCAAACTTTAGCATACGATGATACCTTGTACAATAATAAATGTATTACCTTGTAAAGGAATCTAAGACTTTCTAATACTTTAAAGGCCCTCAAACTCCTCTATATTGACTTATCAGCCCCCAACACCTTCTGATACTCCGCAGACTCCCTGTGTAAGAGTGACCGGGAGTTGATTCGGGGGAAACCTGTGGAGAAAAGAACTGCTATAAGCATCTCTAAATCAGAATCGTATGACAGGGCGGTTGTGTCATCTATAAGTGGGAAGAAGAGGGGGGGGCTGCAGAGGGAGAATGAGGCTCGGCGGAGCGACTCTGCTATAGCGGAAGTACAAATGATAGTCAGCAATGGAGCGTTATGAGTGCTAAATATTGTCAATATTATATTGGGGGGGGGGTTTTGGGGGGGGGGGCTCAAAATGGCTAATGTCCTAAAATGTCCTTGTGTAATTGATCTGTTTGCATAATAAAGAAAGAGAGTTCTTCATCCTGCAAAATTATATCAGTTATGCTGTGATGGGATGTGAGATGAACTTTAATGTTAACTTAGAACATCTCTGAACCAAAGTCTAGTGTGAATATGGCATCAAGGGTGTGGGCTGTATGGGCGGAAAGTATCTTTGCGAAGAGTGTAAATGCATTAGGAATGGATGAAGAGTATGATGGGTTGAATGAGGGCAGTTTCAGGAGCCGGCAGTCTTGAACTCTAAAATGGAAAACAAGAGAGAATTAGAAATGAAATCTTAGCAACATGGCACGTGTACAGCAGACATGATTAATTGTAATGGCTGATATTCGTGGGAGGAGTCTTCATAAGTGTATGGGCGATTGTGAATGGAAGCTCCTTTGTCAATGCATGTTCCAATACTTAATGTCACAATGTGTGAGGGTTGTAGAAGTGGGCATTTGTCCTCCTGCAGGGTGGTAATTAGAAGGAGAACTGAGCGTATGGGGCGTTTCTATGCTGGAAGTCCTGGGATTACCTCTTGGTCAGCTGGTGAGATGATGATGGAGTGGAGTTTAAACCCCTTACTGATATAGAAGTTTTTTAAACTCGAATGTATTTAACACAAAGTATGAAAGGCTACTCCATGGCCAGAAATGTCCTCCTCTTGTTTGTTGCAGTCGAGCAGGAAATTGTTTTCTTACTGCCATTATAAACTGACTGACGTTCAGGTGTATTGATGTGAGAGTCACAATTGGCGTGATTATCGGTATACTTATACATGTAGTTACTTTATTTCATTATTTATCAGCCTGCACTATTCCTTGTGTATTTATTTAAGCAGGGATATATATATATATATATATATATATATATATATATATATATATATATATATGTGTGTGTGTGTGTGTGTGTGTGTGTGTGTGTGTGTGTGTGTGTGTGTGTGTGTGTGTGTGTGTGTGTGTGTGTGTGTGTGTGTGTGTGTGTGTGTGTGTGTGTGTGTGTGTGTGTGTGTGTGTGTGTTATTTACACACCCTAAAGAGTGAAGGGACCAAAATCTCAATATTAATATCAGTATGCTCATTTCAATACTCAAGTCAAAGCAAAGAAATGATCACAACATTATTTGGTGCTCTAGGAGAGGCTGAAATATCAATATTAATATCAATACCAAAATATTGATGTTAATTCAATGACATGATTTTTTTTATGAGACAGAAGCTTTTTATTTTGTTCAAAACGAGATAAAATAAATACTGTACTGTCACCTAGTGGAATAAAACAACACATTCAGAAAGAGACCAAACAGATCGAAGATCACACAAAGGAAACATTAAAATGCAATGAACTGAAATGTGCAAAATCCAACATACCAGGGCTAGGCGTTTTTTTCTCGATTAATTCGAAATAACATTTAAAGACGAATTTGTTTTGTATCAAATCGGGGTATCGCGATTTCTTATATAAAAACCATTAGATACATTATAATTGCACCACTGCGCTTTGGTTTACTCTCTGTATTAGGCTATACCTGACTGCCTGTCAGGGTTTCAATCATGATAGTGAGGGACTGAACACAGATTGGACAGCCTAATTTAACCCAATGCATGAAGTTGTGGGAATGCATTGCAAAGCTGCATGGTGCAATTACAACAAATACAAGCATTTACCTTAAGTTGTGTATTTTTGTCTTTTTAATACCGTTGGATCAAACGCGCTATGATCCACTTCGCTATTCCAGCACTGCCTGACGAGGGGATTTACATTCAGACTAGCAACAAGTAAAATCCTACATGAATTCACGCTTTATTAAGTCACGTCTGTGTGGATTGTCAAGACAAATTCCCTCATCATGTCGATAAACTCGATCTCTCTACACGTATGAAGGACGGAAAATCTGCCATGTTAAACAACCGCGCCGATCTTATAGTTTGAACCGCGCTGATCGGCTGCTCAGGCTGGCTTCTGTAAAGATCAGCCTATACAGATCACACAATCTCAATAAACACCATGTAAACATATAAATATTTCGATGAATATTGTTAACGGAATATTTATAACGACATGATCTTGCTTTTGGTTATATGCCGGCTTTGAGCTCTTTACGCGCGCGCTCTCTCTCTCTCACAAACCGGAGTTGAGATGCGCTGCAAAAGAGCGCTACACACTCGCCGCACACACTGGCGAGATAACAGATGCTAAAGTCCACGGAATCAGTTTTTATTTGTTACTTGTTCTTATTTTAAAATGCCTTTTATTCTTAAAACTGGGTAACATATTCTCCCTCGGAGGTATTGGAGTTTAATACCGTGGTGCGCTTTAACCAACACCGCCCTGGAAGTTTACACACTGCTTATAGGCTTACAGCTCTAGTGTGTTATGAATTGCATGTTTTAAATGATAGGGAGACATGCTACGTTTAGTTTTTATTGAAAAATGTAAACAATAACCTTGTACACAGTGAAATAATAATTTTTGAATGGCTTGTCTGTTGGCGGCGTAGCTATATAAATGGAGTAAGCATATTTTTTATTAATATTAAAACACATTATTACAAACTAAGCCATCCTTTGTTTTTTGTTTTTTATCTGTATATTTTCTATCAAACGAAAATGCAATGATTTTTTTTTTTTTTTTTTTGGTTTTCATTTTATTAGAATGATTATAGCTAATTATTAGGCGGTACATTTTCTCCATATTGGCTCTGATTGCGTTTACAGATATTTAAAAATAGACCTTTGGCTCAAAAGCATTAATGCCTTTTAATTTCAGCGCTGTATTTTGACAGATTTCGGCTTCAGTTATTCAACCTTTCAGGTATACCAGCCTTAGTTTTGCGACTTGACTTGTGTGGCGTCTGTCTGCGGGTGACAGCGAGAGATCAGGCCTCAGATTCGATGTGTGGCCGCACGTCACAGTTACTTCACAGCATTTTTTAAATATTGGCTCATCTAAATTAACTTTTCAGTCGATTAAAATCCGAAATATTGCCACACAGACAAAACAAACTTCGTTTTTTGAAGAGAGCGGCTTCAGTGATAAAAGACGCACACACACACACACACACACACAAAATGAGTATGCCTTACGTATTTATGGCTATTGATAGGCTCTTGATAGACTAGGAACAGCCTATCATTCTGCTATTATTCATATATTCTGTTCAAAGATTTTTGTGTTCATCCTTGCTACAAGCAAAAAATAAATAAATAAATAAATAAGAAAGAAATAAACCTAATTGAAACAATTTATATAGCCTATGGCATGGCCATTAAAATACAATGGTCCTTAACCAGATAGTTTTTCAATTTACTTATAAAGATATTCCCAACAAACACATTTACGTTGTAGCGATGTCTGCACAACGTTGTATTTTTTCAAAGACAACGTTGCCGCTTACGTGTTCGCTACATTGTCACAACGTAGAAATGTAAGACGTGAGAAGGCTGTAGCAACGTTGTCGTGCGACATTCAGCAACCGCGAGGCGGCGTTCTTACTACTTGTATTAATATTTTTTGTGGCAGTTTATCAATACTGCCTAGAATACAGGATAAGCAGCAATTCTTTTCCAGTATTGCTTAATATTAAATATTGTTCATTTATTTTTCCTATTTCATTTAACAACTGCATGTGTAAACTTTAAAGTGTAAAAATGCCACACAAATGAATATAATCAAACTTTTTATTCTATATTTCACAACATTTAATACATATAGTACACATCTAATTATAAGCAAACAGTTTAAAATAAAGTTAAATATATATATATATATATATATATATAATTACACTAAAGGGTAAACAAACAAGAAAAGTAAACAAGAAATTATTAAAATGTAAATAAATGACACTGGGCAGTGAAGCTCTGGATTGGAGAATACAGCAGACTGGGGAGCGCAGCTGAAGACCAGTCGTAGTTGTTGGTATGGAGAAAGCAGTCAGAGGAAGAAACAAATTCAACGGATAATCCAGCTTCAGAGATCCACAGCAGACAAGTCAAAATAGGCAGTGAACAAGAGAGGACAGATCAGAGCTTGACACCACAGCACTACACAGTAAATGACTATGACTATAGCAAGTTATTGAAGTTTCAGACATTTATTGTAATTTCATTACATATAAAATCTCCAGTGAGTAATTATGTAGCCTACTTTATTTTAATGTTTAAATAATATATCATATACCAAAATTACATACAATTAAATAAATTTAGAGATACAGGGAAAACAGGTTTGAGTTAACAGAAGTCAGAGTTAGTCTCTGAATACTTACTTAAATTATGAGTAGAGAAAGAAGAGGTCCTGTAGTTGTGGCGTTGCTCACTGTAAATGGAATGTTAAACTTAGTGTAATTTCAATAACAGCTGTACAAAATAATAAAGTAATTTTTCATAGGCATGATCAATTTTCCACATTATGGACATGCTGTTTTAGGTAACATAACTACATTTAATAGTAAATAGAATAGTATACTTCTTACCTCATCCAATTCTTCTTTCCATAGATCAGGAATTACAGCAACACTGATCTGAGGTGAATTCAACAGCTGAAAACATTCTGAAAGACAAGTTATATAAATAATTTGAAAACAACAGTGAGTGGTTAAACAATAGAGTTTTATGCAACTTGCACATAATTAAAATCCAGAAATTATCAATAGAAAATTACCTCCATGTAAAAATAGCCTGTTGAGCAAAGAAAAGAGTGGGTTTTAAATAAAACATCAAAAGACCAATCAAAATAGAAATTTAGACTAGCAGACCTTTTAATTACTATCTATATTAATTAGGCATATGAACATCAATTTATATAGGCCTACTTTAACTTATAGGGATAGCTTACCCAAAACTGACAATTCTGCCATTTAGCCTCATCCTTTATTTGTTGCAAACGTATTTAGCTTTTTTTTCTGCTAAACAATAAAGAAGATATATTAAATAAAGCTGGAAAACTGTAACTATTTAATTCCATAGTGTTTTCCTACTATGAAAGCAAATGCTTACAGTCTTTAGTGTTCAACAGAATAAAGAAACTTAAAGGTTTGGAATCACTTATTATTTTTAGGGCAAATAATTCGTGAGTACATATTATTTTTGAGTGAACTGTTCCTTTAACGGGACGCAATCTGCACAGAGATGTTTTGTATTTAAAAGTCATTTTGTGTGTTTTGTAAAAAGTGGGTCGGCTCGTGTGATGAAGTGTCATACTAACTGATCACGATGGATATGGAAAAAACTGAACTTCAAAAACATTATTGTCCATTTGACCAAAGACAAGGCGTAGGTAAATAATCAGGAAATGTTTTATCGAGAGATTTAACATAATGATTTTAATGTTGTTGCCGTCCGTGAACGGAATGCCGAAATGTTACTCGCTCGTAATAACTCCATTACGGCTTTTGTGTGTGTGTGTGTAATGTTGGAACAGATTGTTGTCGAAATCGTATGTTTGTTTGAATATTCACGATTTACGTATCTTATTTACCAAGAAGAAATAAAGCAATACGTCTCCTCGGTCGTTGATGAATGAGACGACGGCTTGTTGAAATTTAAACTGATTTAGCTGTGACCAGTAAATGTTGAACAGTGGTCGTCCACGCAACCTAAAGTATGCGGCCCTCATGATGTTTAAATGGCAACCTTATGACATCGTTGTGACAACGTTTAGCAACAACGTAGAATCCTCAACCTTTTTGCAAGGTTGGTACAACGTTGTAGGAAGGTCGCTACGTTGAGGCAACGTTGTGTGTTTGTTGGGTTGTTACTTCAGTCATGTTGGAAAAAAAAATCGAAATCTTGAATCGGTCAAACTTTATAAAAAAAAATCTAGATTTTTATTTGCCAAATCGCCCAGCCATATGACATATGCATCTTATAATTGGGAGGGTTTTCTGTAAAAGAAGACCATATTCATCAATCTACTCCGATGTATGTGACCGGGGCACTCTCCTGAGTTCAACGAGGCAAAATTATGTTAGAACAACAACAGCAACAAGGAGCAAAACATGCAGCATTGCTGAAGTGGTTTAAAGGAAAGCTCTTAAATTTGTTTATATAATTAACAGAATTTATAAAAATATTAAGGTTTGTTATCGTTATTGTGAAAGTGTTGTTTTTTTCGGTTCTTTCAATGTGCATTCGTGTCGTACGCATGCATGTCATTTGAGTTTTTGGAATGAAAAGATTTGTATTAAAATTATTTGTGTATAATATTCCTTATTTTAAATGTGCATTACATGCTGGATTTTCGATAGCAACCTAGCAAGCAGTTGATGTGTTTTTTCATGTTCATTTCGACATATGAATTTTGTCATCATTGTCATTAAACGTGTCATATTTGAGGGCAAAAGGAAAAATAATTCGTGCCCCCTCAGTTTTCATAAGGGATTAGTTGAGTCAAAAGTTAAAATAATTCTGTCGTTAACTACTAACAACAACGTTCTGAACACACGTGTATAAATTTGATATTATGAAAAGGCAAAAGAAAATTGCGAAATGAAAGCGATAGTCCAGAGATGCGATCCCCACGTCGAGCCAGGCTGCAACAGTGCAGGTCTCCAGCCGGGTCTTGAACCCGGGTCTTTCTTGTTGCGAAGCGAGCGCGCTACCCATTGAGCCACTGAGTCGCCGTACCGGCCGCGGGAAAAAAACCCGTCTTTTATAGAGTGATCTCTGCCGGCTGACAAGGAAACGATCGAGGAATGCCTCAATTCCTGCATAAATAAATATAGAAACAATCAATAGTGCGGCCTGATAAATGGTCAAGTACATTGCACCAATGTTGGAGAAATAGGACAATATTGAAAAGAAATAATAAAAAAAATTCATTATTTATCAGCCTGCACTATTCCTTAGTTGTGTATTTATTTAAGCAGGGATTTGTGGATGTATGTACTTATTCATTTATTTATTTGCATATTTATTTATTGTTTAATTTATGCAGGGATTTATGGATTTTTCAGCTGGGAGGTGTGGTCAGCCATAGCTTGTGGTCAAGGACGACAAAAGGTACAAATGTAAAAACAAATAAAAAATGGCCCCGGGCCCCATCGGCTGCATAGGATCCGAAACTTGAGGCCGAATCTTGTTGCCAATTGATATCGCTTGTTTTGGGTCACTTTGGAAGAGCTCAATTTGAACAGCCGTCCTGGCACCCAGGGTCCGTAACCGAGCAGTTTGGCATACTGCCTTTTATACATACGGTAGGAGCGCTGTTTCTCATCGACGGTAGGCCACATTTTCAACCATCGCCTAGACTGCAAAGGTAGACGCCACCCATCTCCTCGAGAAACATGCTGTCATTTTGGCTTCTTTAAATCTTAGTTTTATTCCATTTGTAGCCGTTTTAAAGGGCAAAGTGCGCTGCCCAGAATGCATTGCGGCAACGAACGACCAATCAAGGGGATTGCTGTGCCAGACCTGTCTTTTCCGCCTTCTGTGTGGAAATCATGTCGAGAACGGCAAACAATACTGTGTACTAGGACGAGGGAGTGCGAGGCGGGCCTGGGGGACACGTAAAGGCCCGTGGACACTTACAACTCGCCCAAGTTGGCCGTTTGATTGACAGACGATCCGGCCGCTATGCTTTGACCACGCCCCGAGGGCCATGAAGAGAGACCCAGGCATGCAAACGATTAATCCGCCCTCTTACGGTTTAGTAGATCCGTCACTTTTGCTCTTGCTTGATATTCCGGCATTTTGTGCTTTGAATTATGTGTTGGGGTATCGGGAGTGGCGCAAAAAGGGGGTATGCAGTGTATGCGGCGCATAGGGGCGCCACACATGGGGGGCGCCATTGTGCCAAAACTATTTTTGAAATTATGCGTGTTATTATACATATTAAACAAAATAAATATATATATTTGGTTGAAAAAATGTGTATCCTGCATTTTATATGAATATACAATTGTATTTTATTGAATACAAAATTATACCACCCCTCCCTCTTCGTTGACCTTTTGATTGATCCGTTGCTCGGTTACAGTCACATGTTCAAAATGGAGAGAAGAGTAAAGAGACGTGGAGTGGGAAATAGAAAACAAAAAGAGAACAAACAATGCCTTAAAATGAAAACTGCCATGACAAATTGGATAAGGGATTGGTAAGCTTAACCCACACTATTATTACCATACTTTTAATCAACTTCTAATGTTTTTGGGAGCGACGGGCTGCCATATAATGAATTATTTATTATCCCCATTCAGTCTCTGCATGGGCTTTTACCTAACATAAATGCAATGACAATTAGTTTTGTTTATGCTAATTTAACATAATATTAGTTGTATTTAAAACAAAACATGTTTTCATATTATTAAGTGTGTTTGTCTGTTCACACACTCGAATCTCAAAGTATCCGCTTTCATGCATCTTCAAATCGCGTGTATAAAAGCCGTCTTTATCACTATGTGGCGCGTCCGTCACTCAGCACCGTTATACTGAATCAGAGGGTGGATAAGAGCGGCATAAAGCTTTACTGGAAAAGACGTGAATGCGGCCGTTTTTACATCTATTTCATCGTGCTGTCAATCCAAAATAATGCGAAAGCTTAATTCTCTTAAACAGTTCTTGCAATTATATCACATGAGATCGACTCTGTGTAGCTGCTACTTTCACCTTTCATAGAAACATTACAAATGCGGGAGAAATACGGGAAAATACACACACAGAAGAGCAGATAGAATGGTAAAATATGGTAGAATTAATTTAGCAAAAACGAGAGGGTTTATTGGAATGAATTGCATTCGTTGGCACACACGTTTTAATTCAAATTCATTCAAAACAATAACATGCAGTCATGCATTCAAGTGTAAAGTTTATGTAAAAGTTTTATCAAAATAAACTGTCAAATCATACTTACAGTTGAGCTCAAAAGTTATAAGAGTAATAACTTAGAGTAATATAATTATAAGAGTAATAACAAAATGTGTGTTTAAAAGTACATACCTAAATATTATGGCCAGACAGAATCTGCTAAATATTTTTGCTATTTCTGCTGGGACTTTTGTAAAAAATCTGCGGAATGATTTTAGGATTATCATAACTAAAAACAGATAAAAACTATATATATATACATAATATGGAATAAAAAAATTATATCTTCAATTTTATTTAATATTTACAATGCAAATCAAATTAGATCCACTTATTTGGTAAACAAAGCAAGTCGCTAATATATCTAATAATGTTTCTACTAAAAGGCAGAAAATACTACTTTACCAACTGTAAATAAATCATATGAACATTTTATATTACTATTATTATATTACAATAATATTAGTGAAATGAATTTAAAAACTGAGTAAATATAAATGTACACACATTTACACAATTAAATACAAAGACTCAATGATGGGCTAAAAATCTGTAGAAAACTGCTGATTTCTGCGCACGCAGATACCGTGTGGGCCTACTGAATATGTTTCAGACAAAATAGAAAATAATATTTTGATTAAAAAATTCCCCTATATAAATTTTATATATTTGATTATAATGATTCTTAACCCTGGTTTAAACTGACACATGAACAAATATTCAGAATATTCACATTTTTTGAAACTGAGATGTTTATTAATCCTATAAAGATCCATTTTTATACCATATACATGTTTTTATAAATTTATTAAATATCATATTGATACATTAGGCATTTTGGTAACCTTTTGGATTTGTGCTCAAAACTAGTTCAATTTAGTTCCCAAAAAGTTGGCCCATAATATTTTGATAAAATAAAACATTTCAGGAAGTTTGTCTCTATTGTTTTACCTTAAACATTGTACAGTCTTTTTTATTTCACTTTGTGAAAGGTGTGATAGCAGTTTCAGTCAATTGTTCATGCGAAGACAGACCTTACACCCCTCACATATGCATGTGAGAAGTGATTACATTTTAAGTTCTTTTGCCTCCCATATCTATCATTTTGTTTTGACAAATGTACAAAAAGTACAAAAACAAGACATGTCAAGGTGCTATAATCATTTGGTGCGGAAAACGGAACTAAGAAGAAATTTGGGTTGGGATGAGATGTAATTCTTTGGGACTTTACATTGGTGTTATTATACTTTTCTATTTCATACAATTTCAGTTGCGTTCAGAACTTTGACATGCTGATGAAAAAAAAAAGTGGGGGGGGGGGTTGGGTAAAGTGGGGCGCAAAACTTGAAATCGCATACCCCACAGTAAATGTGCAGTTGCACCCCTGGCGTGATATAAAAGAGTTACTGCATGATGTGTAGGTTGTCTATCACTTGCTGGGTAATAGTCATTTCACAATTTTATATAATTTAAAAAAAAAAAAAAAAAAAAAATTATATATATATATATATATATATATATATATATATATATATATATATAAAATTATTTATAAAGTGTAAATATATCAACTGCCAAAGTCAAACTTAAAAAAACAATGTTGCCACTTAATAGGAACTGTGTGAATGTAATGTTTATCATGGCTTTACTCCATCCATGATAAGTAACATGTCTGTAATCTCAACATGATTGGAATTATTTGGCCGGAAACAAAGTCTCTGCACGCAGTCCATTCATGAATTTGTCGGGAGAGTAGGCGGGACCATCTCCAGTTTTGGAAAGCTCATTGGATGGTTATACTTCCCCTTTAACGTATTGGCTCCTTGGAGTCACGGTCGAGAGTTCAGAGTGTAAAGGCCGGCGGC